CAAAAAGTATTTATCAAAAGGTCAGTGTTGCTTTAATTTTTAACAACCATTCTTTTGATTATTCACATAATATTTGATAACTCAGACCTTTGAGCATATTTTTGCTTGTAGGATACAGAACTATAAGCTAAATATAATTTCAGTGTTTTGCAACAGTATTTAGCAGAAAGAGTTATATTAACATGGTTACCCGCATACTGCCTGCTGCAGTCAAAATCTAAAGTACAGCTGGATGCCATTACAATCTGTTAATCTGAAACGTCTCGCCATGAGACACATTAGAGTTCATATTTCAGCCAGTCTGACCCTTGTTTTTAATCTCTCTCTCTCTCTACACTCTCTTCTCTCACATCTCTTCTCTCTCTCACACTCTCTCTACTCTTCCCTCCCCCTCTCCTTCCTCTACGACGTCTCTCTCCTTCTCTTCCCCTCTCTCTCTCTCTTCTCTCCTCTCACTCTCCCTCACACTCTTCAACAACATCTCTACACTTCTCTCACCAACTCTCTACTCACACTCATCATCTCACATCTCTCTCTCACACTCTCTCTCACACTCACACTCACACACACTTTGACTATTCATTTTGTAATACAGACTCTACTCAGTGGTGGTGGGAACAGAATGTAATAATATAATATATTTTTATTCTTACCTTCAGGCATTAGCCCAATCATCTCATACTGCACCATCTGTCTGTTCCAAAACTATAACGGAACAACACTGGGCCTCTGAGTGGAGCCGAGCTTTCACACTTCACTAAAGTGCCAAGTATAGCAGTGCTGAATTCAGCCTTCAGTCTTCACTTTGAGTCTGCCTTAAAGCTGCAAGTCCAGCTGGCTGCTTCTCCAATCAATAAAATGATCAGCTCTTCTGGTACTTTCTCTGTCACCTCTCCACTACATTGGTTTGCTATCATGCTCATGATCCTATTTATGAAGCACTTATTTTTGGTTGATTCTTAGTTTTGTGATTCAAAAATGGGAGTTTATTCCACTGTTTTCCAAAGACACACAGGCTAAGAGTCCTATAGTAAAGGCCTAAGATGACATTTCACTAAAGTTCACATTATTTTCACAAGGTGCTCTGACCAGGAAGGATGCTGTATATATTGCTAAAGCTGCAACCAGCCAACTTCACATATACAGTGGAAACTCTCCAAGTTTTATTGGACTCATTAATCTCACTAATCATCAACCACCTTGCTGCTGTTGCTTCCAAGACAGTTTGGATTATACTTAAGTTTCAATTGGTCATTTCCTGCCTGTGCATACTGTGCAGCATTTCCACAGCTTTTTCATCAAACATAACCTTTTTAACCCAGCTCACTTATCATTCTCAACCTCAGAAGTCAGGTTGTCTACATCAGGTTGCGTTCTTAAGACTTGTCAACCTTCACAAGGTTTATGAAGTGATATTTTTAGATCAGGCCAGGTCCCACTTGCATTTAAAACAACTTTTGAATAAGCGGTGTAAGCTTATTGTCCTATGACAGAGCTTGCTCGGAGAGCTTCTTTACCCCATTCAATAACTCTTTACAAGCCAGCTGCAGTTGTTTACCCGCTAACGTCTGGACTATCTTTACGTATCCTGGCTTGGGTGTCAAGATGTCCTGAAAAATTTGGGACAGTCCGGAATTACAAGCTCGATGTGAGTTGAGACCGGAAGGCAAAAATGTTGAGGAGAGCTCACTTGGTGACTCAATTATAATAAAAAAATGCTGCACTTAACGTAGTCAGGAATAATATATAACAGATACAGATACAAGCAGCTGTTGTCACCAGAAGAAAAGACAGAACCCTTCCATTAAATTAAACCATATGACAGAGAGAGCAGCCACCACTGTGGGAGGAATCTGTGATAGAAATTAGGGCTGCACAATAAATCGAACATAAAGTATTGTAGGACTGCAGAGATGCCTTGGTCTACAAATTGTCTGTTACAGACCCCAACAAATGTCACATAATCATGGTTTTAATAGTTCTTTAAGTGATGGAAAAATTTGTAATATTTGTCAAAGTAATCACAATATGATGTTTTTATCATATCGGACTACACCCTAATAGAAATATCTAAAGAATGTTTGTAAGCTCCTAAGGCTTAATGATAATCTTAGCTGCTGAAAAGCCAGGATACTGCTTCATACCATCCTCAGTCAGAATAAGGGGCCATTTGACCACGCCCAACTCCTCTGTCCCAAATTTCACCCATTTATATATGATGGAGATGCACTGATGAATTTTCAAAATCTTTACTCTTTTTTGGAGATTGAGTCACAATTTGAGTTTCATAACGTCTGTTTCATCTTGTCAATACCTCCTACATTACACAAGAAACAGTCAGTAGCTAATATACTTGGTCGCAGCTTTCATTCATCGTAGCTTTGGAAAGCATTTGGTGGTGGGACAGTGCTGAGAACCCTCCCTCTGATGCTGTCCTCTGTGTGCACCGCTGTGCTCCTCACATTGCTTATGTGTGAAATTTGGATGGGCTGGGGTATGTGGGGCAGGGAGCCAAGAAAGCTGGGAAGAGAGACAGAGGGGCCCATATGTGAGAGAGCCTGAAACAGGATCTAGTCGATTGTGGATCTCTCCGGTTCTCTCCCAAGCCTTCACTCGGCTGTCTTTGTCTCCCCCCCGCTACTCTTCCACAGTGGCTGTTTACTAAACAGGAAGCTCAAACTCCAGGCTGTAATAATAAAAGGTTGGACGCCTCTTTGTGTTAATGTCTCTCTCCTTTCACTGAGCTGACTGGGGTCACCACAAGATACACTAAGTTACATTTATGACCTTTTAAAATATTTTATGGTAGCTGGAACAGAGTTTGAGACCCAGTATAAAACAACAGCCAAATCCGGAATGTTTCTGAAAGAGCAGAAATGATAAAAGACAGAAGGAGAAGCCCAATAGAAAATGAGGTCTAAAAAAAAAAATATCTATAATAATATCTATCTATCTATCTATCTATCGTACAGTATAGTGATTTTTGTCATTGAATATGTAATTTAATTTAACAATTTAATATTTCACTTTTTGTTAATATTACAACTGCACTGTGCACACTTTACACATTAGACAAAGTGCTGAACAGCTCTGCAGGACTTTCATAGTCCAATCCATGTGTCCATTACTCATTACAGGCCTCATTGACACAGAGCACGGTTCAATATGTCGAAGTGAAACCGGAGCTTCTGGGTTCTATTACAGAAGTAAGAAAGACCTCATTCAAAATCCCACTGACATTATAATAACGCAAATAACTAAAAAGCCAGCCTTGGAGTCTCTCAACAGCATTTTGTGTAGCTGCTTCCTACCTTTCGTTTTTTGAAAAACTTCCCAATATCGATGTTTATTCAATATTAGACCTGCAACAAGGTCCACAACCCAAACATATCCAGTATACTGCCATAGAGGACTAACAAAACCAGATAATATTCACATTTTAGAAGCTGAAATCTGAATTATAAATCTATAAAAAAAAGTTAATTTAATAGTTGGCCACTTATTGATTAAATCGGCTAATTGTTGCAGCGTTGTTTTCTAGCAGCCTTTAAAGAATTCAATTCAATTTCAATTCAATTTTATTTGTATATCGCCAATTCATAACAGAAGTTATCTCAGGACACTTTTCAAATAGAGCAGGTCGTAGACCGAACTGAAAAACACCATTTCCCATAAGCCCTAGACCTTTACAGGCTCAATCTCACAATTTGACAACAGAGGCGTGGGCGAGTCGAGGGACGCCTGTCTGTAATAACAGCAGGACAGACATGAGTGAACATTGTAGAGGTTTTTAGACAGCCGAGATTACAGCTAAGAAGTTGAAAAAACATGGGAAGAGATCCAAGTCTCGCTATTACTGCTTTATTTTTATGTATTTAATTTAATTTTTTGGTTTTTTGATGCTCAATTGTTAAAATCACCAATTTCAATTTCTTATAGCAAGTGCAGTAATGGATGCTCTTAAATATGGAAAGTAAACCCAAGGAACACCCATTTTTTAAAGCAAGAAATGCTGAATGAGAGATTCTGCCTGAGTAACCAGAAAACTAGAGGAACAAGAGGTGTGATCATCAAGACTTCAGCTTCCTACTACACAACCCTTATGTGTGTTTGTGTGTGTGTCCATATAGACAGCCAAACCCATGGTTCCTCCACTGCTCTGTCCACTTCCCTCCCTCTGTAATGCCACATTTCGTAACCAAGTTTATTCATACTTGAACCAACATCCTGCAGCGCACTTTCCAAATCAAATCATCCAAAACACACAGATGTGTTATTGTGCGTCCTGGGGTTACCCAGAAAACTCCCCCTGGGAAAGAAACTGTGGGAATCCGGCTTTAACAAGAACTACTTTTCACATGCTTGCATTCTCTGTCACCAAATAACGCTGCAGATGTTCTCAAAGCCGGGACACACACACACACACACCGCACCACCGCTCTGCACAAACTGCTCTTTAAATTGTCAACTCGTAGACCTGAGCGCTCTGGATGCCACACATGCCTTACTTCCTTTCAACCTGCGCCGATGACACACATTCACACAAAAATGAAAACACACAGTGGACGAAGATAGATGGGCAGGTGTGCACATGGGGGACCTGGCTGTGGCGCGCGCACACAGTAGCAGAGACAGAAGCAAAAGCACACTCACATCCTCACTTATGGGTCGGATGTTTCCAACTTACCTACAACCATTAACGTGAACTCAAACCCTCTTTTCACCGACTTCCGATACACCTGGTTGGGGAGATTGGCGAAGCCACACATTAGCCCTCCAGGTTCTGCTGCTGGAAGAAAAAACACACCAAACACACGCGCGCACACACACGCAACACACAACACACGCACACACACACACCGTCTGTTAATGCATGAATCACACAGCATAAATACAGCACAAGAAAAAAACAGGCCCGTTACGGCAAAAACAGCTTCCTGGCTAAAGATGAGCCTTTATCAGCAGACAGATGCATGCGTGCATGTTACTATGGTATTTCGCAAGTGTGTGTAAACAAGTCGTGAACCTGCAATTAGTATTTCTGTGTCCTGCAGCGACAGAGCCCCTTTGAAGTGAAGTGCAGCTGGGATAAATACAAGAGGGGAAAGGGGCTGTTTTAAGGGGAAGAGAGGTAAGGGGAGGAGAGAGAAATATCAGGCTTTCCCTGAGGAGGGAAGGAAGAGGAAGTGGAGTCAACCCTGCCAAAGTCCATCAAAGTAGTCAACCAAAAACCTAAGCCAGTGAATGAAGCCAATCAGATCTGCTTCAGAAATGTAAAACTAAGTGGATGAAGATAAGTAACCACAAACAAACAAAGACAATTCCCTACGTGTTGAATCATGTCCATCCTGTTCCCGACTTAGGATAGGTTGTGGTGAAGGGGCTCAGACCAGATCCCGGCCAGGCCAGGCTCTCCAGCTGCTCTCTCTCTTTACCGCTGAGGTTATCTCTTCATCCCTTCCTCCCTTCCCCATCTCCCAGCATGCTGTCAGATAACACCCCCCTCCAATCACTGTGTCCTGCACGCTACGTGAGGCAAACACAATTGATTGCCGGCCAGCCTGTGAGCGGCCTCTCGGGCTCTGTCATGCATGGCGCCGATGGAAAAGTGCAGCTCAGCGCTGATAGGTCTGCTGAAAGAGCAGGTTTAAAAAGGCACCTGCAGCGGAACGCAGGACTGATTCAAACTCACGAATGAAGACACAGAATGAACCTATCCTTGGTTGTGAAAACAGAAACCGGAGCATGATAAGGTCACTGCAGAGAAGGTTCACTCCTGACCATGTACAGCTAGCTTAGCCGCAGTGACAGCAACATCCACAAACCCTGTTCTCAGTGAAGATGGAGGGTTCACACACCCTCTAACTCTGAACAACGCTGATGTGATTCCCTAATGTAGGCTTATCATCGTCTAATGTTAGCATGTTAGAGTTATCGTAAGGTGTATGTATAAAAGCGGCTCATTCTAAAGTAACAAAAACACAGTGATTCTTATATTCAGGTGTTATTACACTAATGAAAACATACCTAGGAATATTATATTCCATTCCATGCCAATAGATCCTCCTAAATGTTACACACTGGTCCACAGTCTGCTATATACTGCACATGCTGTTGAGTGTGACATTTAGAAAACTGTAGGTTAGACAGGAAGAGGAAAGAGAAAAGGAAACAATCTATTGGCCTCATCAATACTCTGATGCATGCAGCTCCACAGCATCACGCAGCAGGCGTAACTACGCTGAACAAGCCTGAAGCACTTTCCACCATTTCCATGTTTGATCCACCCACATGCAAGTTTTGTGTGTGTGCATGTGTTACATAAGGTGCCGCTTCCGTGCACTGTGAGTAGCACAGGTAGTGTGACACGCTGGGTCACTCATTTAGCTATCGAGAGGAAAGAGTTAGTGCAGGTTGTCAGTGTTAACCCACAAAAAAGCTCTGTGGATGTGTGTGTGTAGGTGGGAGTCTGTGGGTCAAATGGTGCGCTAGATGAGTGTGTGTGCGCACCAACATACGGTATCCAGTATTCATGTGTGCATGAATGAAAAACCATTTTATTTTTTGTGTAACACACAATGGTGTTTGTCTCAAGAAACACACTTCTTCACACAAAGCATCCCATCTCCAGGTAATAATACTTGTATCCATTGTAGTATTACTGTAGTATTCACAATGCTGCAATGGCACTTCCCCTTATGCAGTGCAATATGATTAATATGGTTCTTTTTCATAAGAAGGTGACGAACGGGCAGGGGATTTAAAAGAGGGAAGTAATGGAGAACGAGAGAGGAAGGCTAGTTAGTCCATACCCTTAATGTTAACCCCTCCCCCAGTCCACCCAGTGGTGATAGTAGCTGCCTGGTTCACTGACATCATCTGTATTGCCAAGTCCACCCCCTCATGCATTCAGCAGCTGATGCTGAGGCCTCACACTGCTTCCATCAGCTGTACTTTCAATTATTACACATTGAATAGGAGTTATGTAACACATGTTGCACCATTTAACACAGCAGAAGGATGAGAGAAATCATTTGAAAGCAGTGTCTTTGTTGTGTTATTTTCAGCATTGGGCACACTGGCCCGCTGCACTTCACCATCTCTCTAGCACACTGTGCATGTGTGTCACCCCCTTGGTGGTATGCCAAGGAAAGTCACTGCCAATCACCTCAAACTGGATCACAAACAGATACAGCACAAACACAATGTGTGGTGTGTTGTGTGATGAGTAATTGCTCATTGCTAAGTGTCAGTGTATAAGGGTCTAAACAGAACAGATGTTCCTAAGTGCGGTTGTTACAGTAGTGTACAGTCACACCAAACTCCATTCAACAATTAAGCAATTTAAGGAAGAACTGCTATCTGGTAAAAGGTATGTAATTTGGGGAACACGGTTCATCTGTTGTAGTAAGTGGTTCAGACACTATTGCTAAATAGAAAATACTGTCCACAAAGCAATGTTTTGCTTCATCAAATTCATTGTTTTTGGTTTTGATCATTTATATAGCTACTGGTCTAAATTGGCAAATTTCTTTAGGGAATTTGGCACAGAAAAGCAAATCGCACCTGATAGCCAAAACATACAATCCGGCCACCCTAGCTGACTAACCCACTGCCCGTATTCTATTCATTTTCACACTTTCACGGTCCGTGTGAAAACAGGTCTTAACAAGAATTTACTGTTGCTCTTTCCCAGTTGCAACGAGCTATAGTTGAGAGCAGACCAAGTACCCCTGATATGTGCTGTTCTGAATAACGATCAGGGAACCCTCAAGCCAGACTCCGTTCAAATAATTGCCATTTAAAAGACAACATTGTAACGTTATCTCTTTGGCGAAGCGAGGTTGTGCGTGATGAAACTACAACACTGTTGCAATATAGATTATGAGTGGTGGATACTGTGTTTGCTTAATGTAGCGTTTGTACCTGGCTGCACAGGGGTGGGAGGCGTGATTGGTTTTCAAAACGATGGCATTTACTGAAGTACACGTTGTTAGGTCAATCACACCATGCCGAAGTTATCAGTAGACTTCTACTTGTGTCATGAGTGTGTGAGTGGTGTTTAATTCGAGTAAATGTCTTTGTTGATATGCAAAATATTCTAAAATGGGCATATTGTTAAAGGAGTTTGGTGTGCAGTTCTCTCAATACATGAAAGCTCGGTACCAGCTGAACAATGACGGTTAAATACAGTATTCCAATGCAGTTTTGTATTAGTAGCCATTGAAAGCAGACGTAGTGTTAACAATTGAACACTGGTGTATGTGGAAGATAAAGTGACTTACAGCGATGCTGGGAACCGCAGTCTCTGGTCGCTCGATCATTGTACTGTGCTGTCACCACCCAGCCTGCAACGGACAGTCACCCAGGCATAAACTGATAAACGTCCCAAGGAATGACGGAGCGGGGAGAAACGCGTAGCTTTCCACCCTATGAACCTTAGCTTGGTGTAAACGAAAAGAAGCAAAGTGCGTGTGAAAATGAATGAATGAGGTTAAATTACATATGGCCGCTGTTGGATAGTACTACCACTTATAGTGTTAGCACGGCGAAGAAAAACGGTCCGACTGTTTTTTTTTTTTCGCACGAAGAGGACAAACAGAATTTATACAATACTACACCCGGTTGAGAATTTCAGAATAAAACGTAATGCATCTCCCAGTGTTCGGCACTACTGAAAAATAGTCATTAGATACAGTTAGGCAGGTGTTAGGTTAGTTAGTGAATACCGTTATTATATATCATGAACGGAAAGCAAGCTCACACTGCCTGAACTGTAAAGTCGGCACTGCGTTTGTCTGCTGTCTTCTGCAGTTGTCCACTATTTTCAGGTAAGACAAAAGTAACGAGTAACGAACCCATTTCAATTTCAGTAATTGTAATTGCATTATGTATTTTGAAAACATCATTTGTTATATTGATAGTCCCCTCCAAAATACTTTACAAGGCTCTCAACACAGGTACAATAACAGCAAGTGTGAAAAGATGAGCAAAACAATTCAGCTCTATTTGCTTTTGGTACATAACACTTTTATTTTTAAGGCCCCAAGTTAAAGGACCAGTGTGTATGATTTAACATTAGTAGCATCTCTGATGAAGTTGCAGATTACAACCATTTGAATACAGCTCTGTCAACATGGTGGTTCAACATGGCGGACTCCGTAGTAGCGGACACCCTCCCTCTGTAGGAACAAAAACACAACAGTTCTTATTTCAGGTAATTATACACTAATGAAAACATACCTATGAATAATATATTCCAATTCTGCCGATAGATCATCCTAAATGTAAAACTGGACCTTTAATGTGCATTTTAAGTTAGGTTTTCCATGAGCATTGGCCAGACAATTAGCCTAATTGCCAAATGTATATTTGTATTTTTAAAATGCTAAAACATGATACTCTGGTCTTCTGTCCATGTTGTTAAGTTAATTGACTAATCATATTGTTCTGGAGATGAAAATGTCCACAGCTTGTTAACAAGATAAAAATGTTGTTTTCTAAAATATAGATGTGCTCTTATCTGCACGGTAGTGGAAATATAAGTTCAGCTTCAAATATGCATAAACCCAGAAAGAGCATTAAAAGAAAACATGCTGCGAGCTGACAGCCATAGGGCGGGATTTGCTCTCTCATTTTGAAAGTACACCGTACTTCCGGTCTGCTGCTGGCTGTGTTTGGGCAACTTGATACACCTTCAGGGGGGCCTGGATCTACCTTCCTATTGGTCAAACGGGAACGGGATCGGCCTCTGATCGTGTGTGAGGCCTTCATGTCCAGGGGGCTACAATTTGTTGCCTTCAAAGACGGTTGTGAATAATGTTACTGAACAATTACCAATAACCGACAGCGTGGTAAATGACATTACTAATGATTTGACATTAATTTGGCCAAACCAAGGAGTATCAAGTGAGACAGACTGTTTTATAATTGCTCAAGCAGCCACAAAATAAAGGAAATAAACTGTAGGCCTTCTTTGAAACATATATGGCTTATCAAAAATACACCGGGGAGGATTTAGAACCAGTACTGCCACTGAGGAGAACGTTTTATGTCATACAGCAATATATTTATCCACATAATAATGGTCCAGCAATGATTTACAGACATTTGTGGTCAGGTCTTTGTAGTGGCTTGACAATAAGTTGTCAATTGGCGCACTCTAGTGGCAAAGAATGCAACTGCCTTCAGACGTTGCAGCAAATGTCTTGACAAATTCGAATGATGACAGTTTAAAGGAAAAACGACCACAGTCCTCCCAGTCTCTGGACCCCCCTCCGTTCTCTCATAGGAGTTCAATTGATTCACTTCATTTCCATTCTCATCAGTTCATTCAATGACCCCTCGTGTCCTGTATGAAAACAGCTCAGTATTCCCACACATCCAGTCATGCAAATTCCTGGTAATTGGTTAAAATGACCAAATATCCTGGAAATAATCTGTGTTGTCCTAAAATTGTATAAAATTTATTTCAGTCCCTAACTCAGATCGCCTATGTAAACCTGGCTTTGAGAAAAACTGTAGTAAACTGTAGTCCAATCACCAGGGTAGGAAAGTGAGCTAACCTGAAGTGTCTGGTAAACACTGACCACTACCCATAATGAACCTGTGTCACTTCATCTTGTACCTGCATTACTAAAAAAGAAGGAATAAAACTGGGAAAAACTATATCGGTAAATTATATGACCGTTTGTGAGCAAGTGTTGTCCTGTACTGTCAAGAAAACTCCTGGAAAATGTCCTGAAAAGGTCCTGGAAAAGGATTTGTCAAAAAGAATGGGAACCCTGGCATCTGTGTTTGTCATGTTTCTCCACTCAATCATTCAGGGTTTTCCTGTAATTTTGTCATCCGTCTATGTCTCCTGTGCTGTAGTCCTGTGTGTGAATGTAGGTGACTTTGCAAGGAGAGTGTTGGGACATTAAATATTATGGATGACATCAGAATCACTTTTATTGGCTAGGTATGTGTACACCATGGTGCACACATTAGAAATTTGACTCCTGTTTTACATTGCTCTCAATGTACATACACAGAATATCATAAATTAACAGTATAATAAGCTTAACAAAATAGATCTAATATATACAGACATCTAAACATAAACAACAGAAATAACATTTTGACAGTAAAACAATAGTGCAATGGGGCAGAGTACAAAGGATGCTGAAATTAATACTATTGTGCAGGTTTCTTTATGTACATGAGGTAGGTGGATATGACAGTATACAGTGCATCTGGAAAATATTCACAGCGCTTCACTTGTTCTATATTTTGTTATGTTATAGCCTTATTCTAAAATTGATAAAATTCATGCTTGCTGCGTTTATCTTTCCCTCGATCCTGACTAGTCTCCCAGTTCCTGCCACTGAAAAACATCCCCATAGCATGATGCTGCCACCACCATGTTTCACTGTTGGGATTGTATTGGGCAGGTGATGAGCAGTGCCTGGTTTCCTCCAGACATGGCGCTTGGCATTCAGGCCAAAGTTGTTTCATCAGACCAGAGAATTTTGTTTCTAATGGTCTGAGAGTCCTTCAGGTGCCTTTTGGCAAACTTCAGGCAGGCTGTCATGTTCCTTTTACTGAGGAGGGGCTTCTGTCTGTCCACTGTACCATGCAGGCCTGATTGGTAGAGTGCTGCAGAGATGGTTGTCCTTCTGGAAAGTTCTCCTCTTTCCACAGAGCAGTGCTGGAGCTCTGTCAGAGTGACCATCAGGTTCTTGGTCACCTCCCTGACTAAGGCCTTTCTCCCCCGATCGCTCAGTTTGGCAGTGCGGCCAGCTCTAGGAAGAGTCCTGGTGGTTCCAAACTTCTTCCATTTACAGATGATGGAGGCCACTGTGCTCATTGGGACCTTCAAAGCTGCAGAAATTTTTTGTACCCTTCCCCAGATCTGTGCCTCGATACAATCCTGTCTCGGAGGTCTACAGACAATTCCTTGGACTTGGTTTGTGTACATGCACTGTCAATTGAGGGACTTTATATAGACCTTTCCAAAGCATGTCCAACCAACTGAATTTAATAAAAATGTAATCCAATTTGGAATAAGGCTGTAACATAACAAAATGTGGAACAAGTGAAGTGCTGTGAATACTTTCTGGATGCACTATATACAGTATGCACAGCATTCTTAGATGTGTTTTAGAGATATTTATGCATTTAAAAAAAAAAAACTGAGTTTCAACAATGAAAATTATAATTTACAGGTACAGAAAATGTATGAGTCATTGCACAGAGACACTGTGTGTCTGGAGTTCACTGTTAGTCAGAGTGATGGCCTGTGGGTAGAAACTGTTCCTGTGTCTGTTAGTTTTGGTGTACAGAGCTCTGTAGCGCCTACCAGAGGGGAGAAGTTGGTACAGGTTGTGTCCAGGGTTAGATGGATCTGCAGTGATGTTTCCTGACTCTGGACAAGTACAGGTCCTGAATGGAGGGCAGGTTGGCACCAATGATCCTCTCTGCAGTCCTGACTGTCTGTTGTAGTCTGTTCCTGTCCTGTTTGGTGTCCGACCCAAATCAGACTCATCAAATATTTACAGAATTTAACTGTTCCATACTGTCCTGTCCAGTACATAGTTGTATATATATGATATATATGGCTCAGAAGGTAAACTCATTACTTCAGTGCTGGTGAGGTTCGCAGTGTTATCAGACTGATACAGAATCTGAAGCATGCAGCTCTGTGAGAAAACTGCGTAGGAGTCAATGACAAGACCTTGGCATCAGGGATGGGTCTAGAGAAATATTCATGGGGGGGCAAGAGGGTTTCAAGGAGACTTTAAGGCAGAGGTCTCAAACTCAGATTGGCTCGGGCCACTGCTGGTATTGTCATCTCACAGAAGGGGACCACTGCACTATAGTACTATAGGAAAGCAAAATATTCAGAAAATATTTCAATTACTAACATTGACATTACTTAATAAAAAAAAATGCAGCATCAGTTTTTACACATTTGTAAATCATCTTTGTTGTTCACAGCCAAGTTAGCAGTACCTGGGTGTTGCTGCTGGAGGTGTCTCATAGCTGTCAAAGGAAGTGCGGCTGAATCAGACCTGCTAAAAAGGGGTTGGGCTGATAATAACGGCTCAGTTCGATTTCTTTTGATTTCAGTTTGTTGGTTTAGTTCTGTTCAGTTTGTTAAGTTTATGTAGCATGAGTTCTGTTTAGTTTACCTCTTTTATAGGCCCAGAACTTTATTGTATGTTTTGTAAATTGGTAGTTTTAATATTTTCTGGTGAATGATGTAACTTTTTTTGAAAAGGTACCTCTGATTCCTCCTGCCTGCCAGCTCGGTCCCTTACATTGGCCTATAAAGCTCCTCTCCTCCGCCCACAATGCTTGGCACATTTGGAAGACGGATTGTGAGAGGCACTAGTTTACCCCGATGATGCTCTCTATGAAAGATACTGATTCTCATCTGAGGCAGTTCAGTATCTATGCCAGAATGCATTTGGCCTAAATACAGAACACTTTATTTCAGAGGAATCCAGAGGGGGATTGGTGCGACTGACTGTGTGCTTATTCTAACAGTAGCATTACATTCACACAGGTAGCCTTCAGCCTCTCTACTTTAAGGAGAATATTTTAATTCAGGGCTTAACGTTGTCAGACATTGTCTTGGACATTTACCTCCATCGTATTCAATCATATCACAAATAAAATAAGGAAGAGAAAAATAGAGAACCTATGACATGAACACTGTAATGTTACTCATGAATTTAATCTGCCGTTCACTTTTACAAACTCTTCATATTCTGATGTTATCATAGAACAATTACAGAGCAAGAAACATTTTGAAATAAATCTTCCTCCACTGCTGACACGCACAATCTTACCCACTGTCATAGTACCGTAAATGTAGTGGGCAATCAGTTGGTCAACCTTGACTTTCATTGATTAATCTTTGTAGTGCCGTCAGCTTTCTTCTTATCAACCGATTTTATTTTAATTGTATACAAGGGGGAAAAATACACAACTAATATTTTAACATCATGACGCAGGCTGCAGGTAGGGGGATGGAGGGCCGGAAGTTTGAAACACCTGCTTTAAGGGGTGACAGTAATATATGCTGATTTAATCTAAAAAAGTCACATATTTGCCCCTACATGAAGATATTTGAACTCAAAAGTAGTAAAGCATTGACTACAAATATCTAAAGGTGGCATTAGAAATCAATGAAATGTTTGAGAGTGTAAAATATGGCCAGAACAGATCATCCTGTTTTTTGTTATTGTTAAACTTAAATTTGGCAGCATATGACACCAAACTGGGGAGGCAGCTGGGTAGCCATTTATTCTGGATCCGCCCCTGCTTGGCAATATGAAAATTTGATCAAAGTTGTGATTGGAGCTAATTTGCAACACCTTATTTATGTGTCTCCATCTCTTCAGGATTTATGGTTCCACACACCAGTTCATGTAATACTGATAAGGGAATTTACATTTGTTATATGAATACCAGTATATGTGGAAACCTGCAACTTGACAAAAAGAGAGCCAAACTTGTTTGATGTAATTCATTTTGCTTTATTTCAAGAGAATCAGATTGGTAGCATAAGCATATGTTACAAATAAATTATTTCTGTCAAATTGTCAAGTAACTGGTCAAAACATGACTGTAAATAGAAAAAAAAACATCAATTTAATAAAAAAAAACAACCTAAAGAGCTTACAGTGGGTCATTGTAGAAACAGTGAGGTAACCCGTAGCTTATACTCTACTGATGACAAGTGGAGTTGGGAGGCATTGCTCTTTTACAGTCAGTGTGGTCTCTGCAAGTCAATTCAAATAACAGTACAACAGTCGTTCACAGTGCTGACGGTCAGACTTGAGTGTTGAATCAACCAAAAACACATCGTTCCATATACTAAAATAAAATGTTTTAAATCAGATCTGTAGAAAAATGTAAAAAGAAAATATTAAAAGACGTTCAAACTATGTTATCAATACACTCTTATCCTGTATGGCAGAAAAATAATTTAACATGGTAACACCATCTAGTATATATCTAGTACATATTTTGCATATAGATAGCCAGAAAGCTGCTGTTTAGCTTATGATCGCCCATGGTGGATTTAGTAACATATTTGTAGTTTAGGCTTTAAAAGTTATAGTTTGAAAAGTTGCAGCATCCTGGCACATTGACTGTTCTTTGGATGCTCTGATTGTGGCGCTCTGTCGCTGTGGTTACAGGTTGGACGTCTGTCCTGGGGCAGGTTTGGCGTCCAGGTAGCTGATGAGCTCCTTCACCCAAGTGGCTGAAGGTTTGACACACAGATTACGACCTGTCACTGTCTTCAGCCTGGAAACACACACACACACACACAGACAGTCAGTTTCAGTGCACTCGTACAGGTACAGTGATATTGGCAGTATATCTCTCTGAGGTTGGGTGCTTACAAGATGGCAGGGTTGGTGCACCGCTGGCTGGTCCTGGTGTAGCTGACCGCTCTCTCTTTAGGCACTGGAGTTGTATTGAAACCAAAGCAGCATTTCTTTGGTCCTGGACCACGCACACCTAACACATAGAAATGAGAAACAAGCTCATTGTTGTCATCTGCTTACTCTCTTTAAGTTCCCTTTTTAATTTCCTGTGGGCCTGCGCGAGGCGGGATCTGATACTAGTGGATGAGATAGTGCCATTGCTCAGTTGTTCCACTGTGAAATGGAAAAAGAAACTCTTGACGTGTTTTAGTCTGATGTTTAATCATATTTCATAGATTGGAAATAGGAAGAATTTCAAAGTCCTTTCATACATTTAGTGTACGTGGTGTCAAATCAGGATTTCTCAATCTATAAATCTGCATTAATAGATTTTTTTGCCACTCAGGGGCAGAACTAGGGATGTGCTTTGGCAAGAATGTGGCGATACGATATGTATCATGATACAGGGGTTAGGATTCAATATATTGTGATACTATAAGAAGGGTGATATATTGCGATTTGCCCTCAGTTTACATTTACAACACTGCTATCTAGTGATTTTGGGGTTTAAACACAAAAATCAATAATGTTTTTGAGAATTGATACAATATCACTCAACAAAATATTGCGATACGGTATTTTTCGATATCTTCCTATACCTCTAAGCAGTAGCAGACATATTATCACCATATACAATTGGTTGGATGTTAGCAAACAGTTTTACACATCCAGCAAACATGGAGCAACATTAGCATTAATTTGTAGTCCTATTTATGGGCACATGATGAGTCTCACACTTGTTTTAGCTCTGTTACTGGTCTACCCAAACTCTATCTGGCTCTGTTTTGGTGCTGGGCAGGTAGTGTTTATCAGAGCTGCCTGCTGCTCTGTAGGACCGAACCAAAACAAGAAAGCAGAGGCCTAAAAAACCAAAACAATGGACTCAAAGGGGCTAAAAAAAGCTCCACTAAGCTGACAGGAACTACAGAGTGGTTGTTTGGGTTCGTCACTACGAGTGACCCCCTTCACATTACACATTTTATACATTTATTAGATATTAAAAAAATGGATTGTTGCAGCTTTAATGGTGTGTAATTTTGTTTGCAAGTTTTTTGTTCATTAGAGGCAAGTTGTTGTCCCATGTTCTACAAAGTATATTACATTTCTTCACCTCTCACACACAACGATTATTATTATTATCAAGCTCTCTCTTACCTTCAGTCAGAGCGATGACAGCCAGCATCAGCACAAACACAGACAGAGTGAGACGAGGAGCAGCCATCCTGAAATGTGTGTGTTCCCTTCACGTGTAGCAGTTAGTAAAAATCTCGGTTGAGCTGTATCGTCCTGCTTTCTCTGCTGTGTGACTCTATACTCTGCAACTGCAACATTTATAAGGCTGAGGAATGGCGGGGGAAGAACCTGTCCGGACTCCACTATGACGTGTCAGTGTCTTTCACATTGAACATGCTGCGGGGTCTTACCAGGGAATTTCACATGTGGGTTTTTGTGTGAATGTTTGTGTTGAGTTCATCTCACTTCCCTAAACAAATTGGCACTGACTGAGCTTGAGAAATGAAGAAGTACATTTTAATGTATTATTAAAACGTGGTTTCCCTGCGAGCTACCTTGTCTCTGTCCCTTTCACGTCATCTGTCTCACCTCCTACATGTCACAGCTACTCATGGGGAACTTTCTGAAGTGCACTGTTGATGCACAGCTATATCACAACCACAGTGTGGTTGGCCATAACTATAATTTGATGCATGAATAAACCTGTCAAACAGTCAAAAGGAAAACCAACGTGTAGTTAGTATGCAATAATGATGGAATACAGTACTTTAGAAAGCTTTGAGAGCAGGTATATAAATGTAGTGTAATGAACATAAAAGAGGCAGCAATCAGCCTTTTTCTCCTACAAAATAATGAAATAGTTTTCATGCAAAATTCCAACATAGCCTATCCGTAATACTACTGGACAATATTCCAGTTTTTAATTGATCCATTGGTCCCGATATATATTTTAACATGAGCCATATATGTATATATGTAGTCACATTTTAAGTTAGCTAATGTTATCAAAATGCTAGCTCACTAACTAATTAATGTTTGATAGTATTAGCTAGTTATTTATTTGATGAAGATTAGCTAGCTAGTTAGCAGGCTAGTGTTTTGCTAACATTATTTAACTTAAGAAGTGACTATTGTCGCTTTTATCTTTTAATCATCTTCAAAATGTGGTTGTCATTTCAACATAGACTAGCCTAGCACATGAGAAGTAAACTGACCTTCATGAAGCTAATGTAAAGGGACCTGAAAGGACAAAATTATATATAATTATTTTAAACAGATTTTGTGCCTAACCCTAACCCAAGAAAAGTTTGGAATATACAAAATTATCCTTTAAAAGGTGCGTGGAAAAGGTGTATAAATGTATGCTTCCAAAGAGTAGACACACACTGCAGCAGTATTCATCATCAGTGTGAAACCTGTACTGTAACAGGTGAGCTCTGTGTGAGAACTGGAGTGCATCTGTTTCCAGGGCTTACTGTATGTCTGACTCATATCAACGCTCTATATTTTTAGCTTGAGTTAGTCAAAGTAATCCTCTTGCCCCGTTTTAACCAGTCTATGTGAAGACACCTTGCAGCAACGTGAGGAGATGTAAATTATGGAATTATCTGGACCGGACAATTCAGTTAGTTTCGTGACATGTACAAATCTTACGCAATCCGTTTTTGACTTCCACTTTATTTTTTTGTGTCTTGAAATAAACTAAACTAAAGCTGGTCGCTCTAGGTCAAATGATTTCAGTACAATTACTTCACTGAAATATTAGTTTCACTGTTGCAATGGTTCAAGACTCAGCACTAAAACAAATGAAATGTTGAGATGAATAAATATCAGTTTCCTTAAAGGTTATATATAGTATGAGATTTAGAACATTATTATAGTAGCAAACAACTATTTGCTATGTAAAGATATAGTGGAAACTTCTGTTTTTATCATCTGTGTCAGTGAATTAAGGATTTATTTTGTTTTCATTCACATTTTTCATTCAAATGTTACAATAATATGCAAGGTAAAATGACCATTTTTGTCTATGGAGTCTGGTGGAGAGCGATAGTGATATAACGGCTGTAGGGATCCTTTCCATAATGTTGACACTTAAAACAACAATCTGAGCTTGTCATTGACAAAAACAACAACTTTTAGCGGACGTACATTAACTGTTGATTTGTCCGCAAGGATTAGCTAACGTTACATGTCGGCCATAGCAGCCTGTTGTGGCTGTTTTCTCATCTAACTCTGTGAATTAAGTGTTTTTTCCGACCAAACCAGCACTGCTGATTGTTGAAAAGACTTACTAAGACAGTTTTTGTATTTTATTTTATTTTCGTCCAGTTTGAAGTGCGGTCTACAATTATATTATATATAATTATGTCAGCGCAATCTGGTCGGCTGTATAGCCCATTGTTCTGGACTGAGATGTAGGTGGTCATGTGCAACATCTAGTAGCAAGTGAATTTTGTATATAACACGGTAGAAAGATGTAGTAAAGAACACACATTCACCAAATTCAATTCAAAGCAGCTTTCATTGTTTTTTTGGAGTGCATCAAGCTGTAAACACAACTATGACATATTATGGCGAACATTTTAACAAACCTTTGCTTATTTATACATCCGGCAGCAGACATGGAGTGACATTAGCATTCCTTTTGCCAAGTTTCTGTCCATTTGATGATGTCCAACCAGCTAGCTAGTTGCTAACTTTATCTGTCTATTGTTTGGTGCTAGGCAGGTAGAGTACAGTGAGATAGTTTTGTTGCTGATGAGAGTGCTCAGACTGAATAGAAACAGTACAGTTGCAGGCCATAAAACCAAAACAATTAGCTGAAAGACACTCAAACCCTCCGTAGAGGTGAGAACTACAGAGTCAGATGATAATTCTGTTGATTCAAGTGCCCCTTTTCACTTTACACATAGTCTTTTGACCCATTGTTCATATAGAAATATGTATTAGTGCAGCTTTAAAGCAGCTTTAATTATTTCTTTTTGTCCATGTGGGGACAGCGAAACAAGCTAAAAACATCATATTATCACCGTATGTGTTGGCAAACAGTTACAGCCCATTTACACATCCAGCCCACACAAAACAACATTAGCATTTATTTGAGGTGTTTCTGGCCAGACTCTTTAGCTGCTAAATGTTCCACTCTGTTCACCACTAATTTCACTAGTTGCTAACTTTGTCTTTCTACTGTTTGGTGCTGGGCAGGTAGAGTACAGTAGGTTTTAAGACCTTTTTGCTTTGTCAAAAAGGAAGCCTGTGAAGTATAGGGTTGTAAGAAAAGATCAAAAAAGATTCCTAAAAATGGCTGGACAGCAGTGCTGTAAACAAACTAAGGGCTGTGATGTTGGATGTTACAGCAACTGTGTTCTATACAAATGCAGATCCCACTATTCTGGTTGCATAAAATAACATAAACCTTTTAAAAAAAAATGTGCTGGTGTGTTCTTTGACAGTTTTTCTCAAATTTTAATTTTAAAAATCACAATATTTTGGGCGCCCGGTTAGCTCACTTGGTAGAGCTGGTAAACATGGACCGAGTCCTGCAGCGGACCAGGGTTCGAGTCCAACATGTAGCCCTTTGCTGCGTGTCATCCCCTCTCTCTACACCCCTTTCCTGTCTATCTCCAGCTGTCACTGTCAATTAAAGGCAATAAAAGGCCAAAAAAAAAAACAAAACACAATATATCACATAATATTGAATTGTAACCCCTATATTGTGATACATATCGCAAGTTTCTTACCAACAGGCCTAATAAAGTATGAGTGATTGTTAAATAAAAGATACATACTACGGATAGAGAATTGTATAAAAATAGTATAAAAAGTTCCCTAAAAATAAAAAAAATAATTTTTCCCTAAAAAACTCCTCTCTGTTGTAATATTCACAGAAAATAATTGGCTAAAAAATCCTCAGAATCACCTTTTACACAAACTTCCTGCAGTTACTGTGTTCACTGTTTGGGTTTGTTGTTTGGTTTATTAGTTGTTCTCTACTGTATATGATACATTAAATATAATATGAAATATCCATCAAATATCTCACTTGGTCAGTTTACTCAATGACAGAAAATGGGTCCCTTAAGGAAAAAGGTTGCGATCCACAGACTAAAAGCTTGAGTGATGATTCTTTCTGGGTGTGTTGCTATGAGCGACTCCTTTGAGATTACACACATTTATTTGACCATTTGCTCATGTTGACCAAGAAGCTTTGTTGAGATGCTTTCTGGCTGTACGTACTAGCACTGGAGAACCAAAGGGTTCACAGTTTAAATGTTCTTTAACTGTACTCGGAATTATTTGGGACAAACAATGCCCTTTGACACTTTTCCAGTTTAATAGTTTTGTGTTAGTCATATATGACTGATATGAGTTAGGGGGAGTTTTTCCACACTTGACAGAATACAGTATGTAAATCTTTTGCACTAGATTTCTCCCTCTGTTAATCAAAAGCAGAAGCACTCTTAAAAAGCTTTTTTCACTTCTTCTTACTTTGTCCTTTAAGACTAACAAACAGTTTCTTTGCGCTCTTACCCCACTGTGGTATTTAAATACCAGCCTCACTTGAGTGCCATAGACCCCAGTGATATTCACACATATTGTGATTGCATTTCATGTTGGGAGAAAAAAGGAAATGAACTTAAAAATGAACAGCCCACTCTATAGTGAAACTTAGGGTCAACCACGTGCTTCCACTGACCACAAGTCAGTTGTACTATTCTTAACGTCACTATGGTTGTTACACTGACTAGTTATTTCCATACAAGAATAAATGCTGAGACCTCAAATAACGACACAGAGACACAGATAAAGAGGGAAAACTCCTTTGTTTCTTTTTTAAAAAAGCAGAAGAAAATAAGCAGTTTGTTGATGAAGCTTAGAAAGAGAAAAGCTATTGATCCCCCAGCCACATTACAGAGACCAAGCAAGATGACCCCATCGAGAAACAGCCCCCATCCAAAGACATAAATCAATTAAAAAAACATTAATATTTAAGAAAAATGATAGAAAATCAAACCAGAAAAAGGATCGCAAAGTGAGGCATCACTTCTACTGAGACTACAAGCCTGAAGCATTATTACAGTACATGCGGCTACAAAAGCTTACAGCTCATCTCGAACCTGCTGCACCCCGGCCAACTGCTGAATAATCCTGTCCTGAACTTGATGTGGACACATGGGGCACAGTGACTGGTGATCGGAAATGTTACAAAATACTACAGTTATTTCAGGAATTCTCGAAACAGACATTTGTCAGCAATTGACCAATTGGTTAGCTTTAGATTATAGACACTAAAATAATGCC